GATGGGGTTGTTTTTTTTCTCATAAATTTCTTTAAGTTCCTTGTAGGTTCTGGTTATTAAACCTTTGTCAAATGGGTAGATTGCAAAAATTTTCTCCCATTCTGTAAGTTATTTATTCCATGCCTCTGTGCTGGATGATATTGCCTAGATTTTCTTCTAGGGTTTTAATGGTTTTGTGTTTTACATTTAAGTCTTTAATCCATCTTGAGTTTATTTTTTATAAAGTGTAAGGAAGGGATCCAGTTTCAGTTTTCTGCATATGGCCAGCCAGTTTTCCCAGCACCATTTATTAAATAGGAAATCCTTTCCCCATTGCTTGTTTTTGTCAGGTTTGTCAAAGATCAGATGGTTGTACATGTGTGGTCTTATTTCTGAGATCTCTATTCTGTTCAATTGGTCTATGTGTCTGTTTTGGTAGTAGTACCATGCTGTTTTGGTTACTGTAGTCTTGCAGTATAGTTTGAAGTTGGCTAGAGTGATGCCTCCAGCTTTGTTCTTTTTGCTTAAGATTGTCTTGGCTATATGGGCTCAAAAAGTAGCTTACTTTTAAACTTTTTTTTTCTTTGCTTGTATACACCAAAGGTGTTATTGGTTCCAAATGAATTCTTAAGAATGATGTCTAAACAAACATGTGCTTGGCATGGACATTGACATTGACATTGGTTTATGTGATTTCTTTATACCTTTAAGATTGTTTCTGTCTCCAAAATTATTTTCTATAATGTCATTTTATTATTTTAATATCACTGTATTTGAATATCATACCAGACCTCAAATAGCATTTCTCCTGCAAAGTTAGCCATTGCAAATGTTTTTAACGGCTTTTGAGGTGGAGTGGTTATTACTTGGAATGTGACAGTTTCAAACTTTTCATAATGACTATGTGCTTTGTTGCATTTTAAGGACATTTGCTCTAGAACAGTTGAAGAATTGGGTGCTTGTGTGTTAAATGCCTACCACCAGATAATTATCTCAAGGGAAAAGTTGTTTAGTTTAAGCTTAATCTAAATAAAAGATAACCTTTCATATTAACTTTCAATAAGACTTTAGTAAGATGGATGTCCAGAATTTAGTTTAATTGCTTCTACAACTACATAAGAGTGATTTGTGTGTTAAAATTAAGCATATTGGCAGGTCATCCTATAAAAGTTCGTATGTGGAGTTGAAGCAAACTTATATTTTTACTTGAAGCTCTTTTTAACAGTTTTTTTTTCTTCTGCCAGTTATTTTATTGACTGTTAATTTACCAACCCCTCTTTAAAAAAAAAAAAAGGTGAGAGGAAAAAGGCCATAGCATTATCACATTTATATATGAGTTCTCTAAACCATATGGTGATTTCTAATTAGAATACAAAAGATTCTGTGATGAGACTAACTTCATAGTCGCTGTAACAGTGGGCATCACAGAAGAAGAGAGTTTTCTTCAATTTCCAACAAGGGGAATTTTGAGAGAAACTGTGTGGTCTCTAATTGTCCATCTACCAGAAGTCTGACAAAGTTATTGATGTGCAGATCAAGTTGGTATTTTGAAGGTAGTAATTTAATTCTGGATGTTTGATCCTCTCAGTCAGTAGCTTGACTTGATTTTTTTTTAAATGCAGCTTCAATATTTAATTTCACATGTACCCTCTCAGTAGAGATTTCAAAGGATACTTTGCTGGATGCTTGACTGCCTTGTCTATTTGCTCTTGTTTTGCATGCAAGAGAGAGCCAGAAGCTTTCTTCTCATTGTGTATACATGGTATTAATGGATTTACTCTGCCTGTATCGTCTCATTACTGGAAACAGCTAGAAGCACAGAAGTCTTTCAGTGTATGCAAATAAGGCAGAATCATCTACCTGAGAGTTAATATTCTCTGCTTTTAAGTGTATTCTAAATCTAATGTTTGTATTTAGAGCATAACATCCTGTTCTTTTTTTTTATGGGCAAAAAGCTAAGCAGGCTCAGGCAGCTGTTTGATGTTGGCTTCAAGTGTTATTAATTTCATATTCTATTATTCTTTTCACTGTAGCACAAGTGAAGCTGATGTGGAGGCTGTCATGGATAAGTTGTTTGATGAGCTGGCTCAGAAACAAAATGATTGTACGTAAGTTAATTTCTCTTGAAAGAGAATACATTTAGAACACAATGCCCAATCTCCACTGACCAATTAATAAGTTCCATTGCTGTATATGGGTTGATGCCACGCTCAAGTGGCAGTCATTGTATCAGCATTTTGTCTAATTTATGTGTTGAATCATGTGCTATTATTCATCAAGCTATGCATTTCCTATCTGTAAGAGATGAATTTTATAGTAATTATCCAGACAAGATTGAGTCTTTGTTCATGTTCCCATAGTAACTAGACCAAGGATTCTAAAAGTGCAAGGCAGAGAGCTGCGCCTGAATAAAGCCTGTGGAACCATTGCCGACTGCACATTTGAAGAGCTGTGTGAGAGAGTAAGTATCCAGGCACGTCCAGACTCGCTGGCCTTTTCACATGTTAAAATACTTCATGTTTTCCTCTCTGCCCATTTCAGATTTTAAAATACCATTCATGGAGTCAGAACCAATTTAAAAGTCTTATTAAAGGAAATACTCATCTATATTTGCCAGGTACTTTTTATAGATATTGGCACAAAATTTGCACTTAGAAGGGCTCTAATGCAAAATTAGAAATGCAGAGAGAACTGTCAACTGTTGCTAGAAGCAAAAATAAAATCAGTTTGGGAGTTGTTTTATAAAAGTCAAACATAAGAGAGTTTGGAAAAATATTTGAGGTGAGGGTTAGTATGTGGGAAAAAGGAAGATAAAATCATGCTAGCATGATCCAAAGAATCATAAAGAATTTCCACTCCTAGTACTCACTGCCCATTTGTTATTGCCATAATATCAGACCTACTAAGGCTAGGGTCAAAGAAGGTGAATTTCTATAATGTGACATCTGTATTATATAATAAATAATATGTTCAACAAAGAAAAAACATTTACCTGTATATGCGCATATTCATATAACTGAGAAAGATCTTGACTGCAGATTCATTATAGATATGAATTCTGTCTTTTAAAAGCTCTGGAATTATCAGTAGTCAATGGATATTGAATGTACTTATTGATTGCAAATATTGAGGAAAACAAATCCAAATCAGATAAAATTTTAAGCATAATTTCTTGATTGACATGCTTAATTTATCATTCTAGCTGGTCTCTGTTTTAGCTTCACTTTTAGGTAACTAAAGAAGAGTTGCTTTTCGGTAAGGAAAAAAGACAAAATACTTATACCTGCGGCCATTTTGTAAGTGCTTTTCTTAAAGCTAGTCACTTAATTACTTGTAACCAGTGTATAGAAAACCAGTGTATAGAAAAAAAAAATTTATAATTTTTTAAGCCAGAGAGATTAACTTAGTTTGCAATTATTTAGCACTTCAGAACCAGTAAAGTTTAGGATCAATGAGGATCCTCTGACAGGGTGGTAATGTTGATCTCTGTTAGTGAAAGTCATTCTGGGTGATAGGGACCTTTCAGACCTCTCCTGGATTGATCTTTAAGGTCCTGATAACCTAATATCTCCTGACAAAATTCTATTAAGGCTCCCACTTAGGTTTTGCTCATTTTGCAAGAGAAATAAACTTGAGAAGAATCTTGTATATCCAAAAGAGGAAGCTCCTCCACTTTCTGCAGAAGAGGACCCCACGGGAAACAGGAAAAGACAAGCCTGTTGAATCTTGGGGGAGGAAGGCAAAGTTGGTCTCTTTTGGAGCAGATACTGAGTTTTATCTACATTTTTACAATATGCTCATTGTTTTAGGAGTCTTAGTAACAGGAAAAGGCCATTTATTGGGGACCAAAATCTTCAGTTTATTTGTTATCGGGGGTGATGGGGAAGAAGATTGAGACTTTATCTTGAAAAATTAAATAATGCTTATAAAAATAAATCATTTTATCTTATTTGATAAAAGTTTGGACTATAATGGCAACTACAAACCAAACTCTTAGATTAAACAATGAACAAGTACATTGGCATGATCATGGTTCACTATAGCCTTGACCTCCTGGGCTTAGGCAATCTTCCCACCTCAGCCTCCCCAGTAGGTGGGACTACAGGCACACAACACCATGCCTGGCTAGTTTTTTAAAAAGGTTTTTGTAGAGATGGGGTCTCACCACGTTGTCCAGGCTGTTCTCAAATTCCTGGCCTCAAGACATCCACCCACCTCAGCCTCCCAAAGTGCTAGGATTGCACATGTGAGCTACCATGCCCAGCCTTGTCAATTATTTTCTTTTGAACTTTTTGTGGTGTCATTATTTGTTGATTTTTTTTCTTCTCCAAGTTGGCCAGATCTTCATTTGTCAGTGAGTTTGCATGGACAGGTTTGCTCTTTACATAGACTGTAATTTTGGGGTGTTTACTACATTTCATAAGCACTGAATGACCTGCAAAAGGCATTGACATGGTAAGTGGGATTAGGTCTCAGTGTTAAGCTGTGAGGGATGTTGGAGGAAGGGCTAAGTTTTTAAGTGACTAGTTCATTGGTGACTATTTTCTTGTTATGATTTTGCATTGCTTTGCAACCTTGTAACTGCAATTCAGATATTGATTTCTTGCATGAAGAGGACAATTGAAATCCCTCAACTTCAGATGTAGCCTAAAACTCTTAATGAGTTGTAATGATCTTATGAGTCTAAATAGTTGCCAAAAACCATTAAGTTAAAAAAAAAAACCACACACGGGCCGGGCACGGTGGCTCAAGCCTGTAATCCCAGCACTTTGGGAGGCCGAGGCGGGTGGATCACGAGGTCAAGAGATTGAGACCATCCTGGTCAACATGGTGAAACCCCGTCTCTACTAAAAAACAAAAAAAAAAAAAAATTAGCTGGGCATGGTGGTGCGTGCCTGTAATCCCAGCTACTCAGGAGGCTGAGGCAGGAGAATTGCTTGAACCAAGGAGGCGGAGGTTGTGGTGAGCCGAGATCGCGCCATTGCACTCCAGCCTGGGTAACATGAGTGAAACTCCGTCTCAAAAAAAAAAAAAAAAAAAAAAAAAACACACACACACACACATCTAACCTAAGGTAAAGAAGCAGACATCTGGTGTGTCTGGGACAGTCCGAGTTTTGGATCATCCTCCTTTTCTAGAAGGCTCTTGAAGCCTGAGACTAATCCAACCACCTGATACCATCATGAAAAAATCTTTGGCAGGGTGTAGATTGGTTAACAGTCTATCATGATTATTTTTGACCCATGGCACCTTCCAAGGAAATAATAATACAGAAACTTACCTGTGTCTTGATAAGGTAAAAGGAGGTTTAGATTGGAAGCCCTTGACATATGCCATAAGTAAAATGAAAAAGCCTGGCATGTTCTGCTTCTTGCACACCTCTTACCTCACTCTTCCAAGCATAGTTCCTCAGATTTGTAATCCTGTAGGTTAACATTTAGCCTCTTGGTATCTCTAGAATACTCTTTTTTTTTCTTTTTTACTCACCCACTGTCATGAGATAGGATTCTCTTTCTTTGTAAATTTATAATTCAGTACTGTCATGTTCAGAGAAGCAGTCCAAGTTAGGAGACCCTGTAACACATACATAATAATAATAACATACATAATAATAATATAACATACATAATGATAATAATCGAGCCATGCATCAGGGATCATTCTAAGCACTGTTATATATTAACTCATTTGATACTTATAATAGGTAGGCACTATTATTGTACCCATTTTATAGGTAGATAATTTGAGGTTCCAAGATGTTAAGTTACTTTTCTAAGCTAGTAAGCTTTTACTAAGCTAGTAAGTGGTGTAGCCAGAGCTTCGACTCCTTGGTAGTTTGGGAGTCAGATCCTGTGCTTTGAATTACTACATTGTATTGGAAGATGTTCTGGACAAGTTGCGCCTCAATCTTTAATATACTTTGGGCTCTATCTTAAAGTGTAATCATTTGGGAGGCTGAGGCAGGCAGATCACATGAGGTCAGGAGATCAGACCAGCCTGGACATAGCAAAACCCCGTCTCTACTAAAAATACAGAAATTAGCCAGGCATGGTGGCAGGGACCTGTAATCCCAGCCACTCAGGAGGCTGAGGCACAAGAATCGCTTGAACCCAGGAGGTTGGGGTTGCCGTGAGCCAAGATTGCACCACTGCATTCCAGCTTGGGTGACAGCAAAACTCTGTTTCAAAAAGAAAATAATAATAAACAAACAGCAATAACAACAACAATAAATAAAGTGTAATCAGATACTTTGTGATTTCTCACATCTGGGCTAAGCTTTAAGAATTTTATGGAGCATGAAGCTGGCTGGGGAACAGACATCCTCCAGTCCTGAGAGCCTCCCTCTGTGTTGAAGAGCTTAGGACAGACCTGCCCAACTCATGTGCCTTGGCATATCCACTGGGAGTGGGTATAGATACAAACCCTTCTGCCCTTCTGAAGGCTGTACCTCCAGGGTCTGTGCCTCCAGGCAAGGGGCCCCAAGCCTTACGCAGCCATTAAAAACAATATTTTCTCTTCCTGTCATAATATGATGAAGTTTGGGAAGTGCTACCTTAGAGAAGTGTGGGAGGGTGGAGGAGAATATGTTTGAGTGGTCTTTGTTCTCTGCCGTTCCCTCCATGTCACAGCTGTGGCAAAGGAAAATGAAATAGATCCATCTCTGTGGACATGACATGAGCTTTCAGGTTTCTTTTCCTTACCTTGATACAGCTACTTGCTTTAATCTGAGGGTAGTGGAAAAGTCAGAAATATGGTTATTTAAGGCAGTGGTTCTCAAAATGTGGCTTATAGACCTCTGGGGTCCCTGAAACCCTTTCAGGGGTCCTGGGAATCTAAATTCTCTGTAATACTTCTTGCCTTTTTCACACTGGTAGTATTTACAGTAATGATGCAAAAGCAATGATGGGTGAAACTGCTGGCACCTTAGCAAGAATCAAGGCAGTAGCACCTTTTCACTGAGCATATATTCACAGTATAAATAAATAAATAAATAACCCAGTTCCATTTAAGAATATCCTTAAATAAGCAGTAAAAATTATTTTGTTAAATCTCAACTTTGAGAACATGTCTTTTGAATATTCTTTGTGATGAAGTGGGAAGTACATGTAATAAAACACTTCTGCTCTATATCAAATATGAAGGCTGCCCTGGGGAAAAGCATGTGTATGGTTGTTTGAGTTGCAAGCTGAACTAGCCACTGTTTTCACAGAATACCATTTTCACTTGGAAGACTGAGTGACAGACAAACTATGGTTATTCAGATTTGGCAGACATTTTCTCACAATGTTTGACAGACATTTTCTTGAAAATGAATGAAATAAGACTGTCATTTCAAGGAAAACAACTGACAATATTTGTTGCCAGTGATAAAATTTGAGCAAACAAGTGAAAATTAGAATTTTGGAAAACTTGTTTCTGCCATCATGAGCTTGACAGCTTCCCAATTCTTAAACATCTCTC